CCTTCCCATACAAGCGTTATTGCTTATAGAAGTGACCACTGGGGAGCATCTCCTGCTGAGGAGCGGCTGAGGGAGCTGGGGCTCTTGAGCTTGGAGCAGAGGAGCCTGAGGGGTGCCCTCATTCCTGGGGATCCATTGGGAAAGGGCAGTGTCAGGAGGAAGGAGCCAGGCTCTGCTCTGGGATGGCCAATGCCAGGACAAGGGGCAATGGTCCCAAGCTGGAGCACAGGAGGCTCAAGCTGAAGATGAGGCCAAAGTTTGTGAGTGTGAGGGTTCTGGAGCATGGCCCAGGCTGCCCAGAGAGGTTGTGGAGTCTCCTTGTGTGGAGACACCCAAAGCCCTGGCCGTGTTCCTGTGTGACTGCTCTGGTGATCCTGCTCTGGCAGGGGTTGCACTGGGGGAGCTTTCCAGGGCCCTTCCAACCCCTCACATTCTGGGATTCATTGGGAATAAAGATAATTTCCTCATTTGGTAGCATTTGATGATACCAAAGTAGTCAAAGTGTGGAAATATGAAAATCATACCGGGTACTTGGCAGCTCAGTTGCTTTGAGCGTGTGGAATGTGTAGAGAAAAATAATGCTGTAATGAGAACCCTGTTTCTAAGTTCTTTACTTATTTATTATCTCAGGTATTTTTTCACTACTGACTTTGCAGTACTGATTTTATGTTATATTTGAACACGATCTTTTGTAATTCATTATTGTAATGCTTTTAATGAGCAATTAAAGGGTCATTTCTAGTTGAATGGACGAATCTCATCACTTTTAAGACGTCTCTTATTTATCATTTTGGGGGTTGAGATAAAATGTGACCATTTCTGGCCAGGAGTAACCATAATTTTTCTTTCCCCCTGTTTCAGGCTGTATCTCTGAGCGTTCAACAAGGATCATCCACGATCGCTTCGGTTCCTGCGCCTTCCAAGCCCCACGTGTCCCCCGCGCCTCATCTGCCCGTTAAAGCGCCTCATCAGCCCGCAGCTCAGCCCGAGAAAGCCAAACCCTCCCCGAGTCCTCCCCTCCACGACGTCAAGATGGTCAATAGGGATCCTCGGCTCAACAGGATGCCCCAGCACTCGTCTCACGCGAAAGATCCCTCTCACAGGAAGGAGTTTTCGCCCAACGCCAGCGCTCAGCCGGATCCCAAGGCGACCAAAACGGCGCAGAACTCGACGAAGCAAGAAAAAACCAAAGGGAGTGAAAAAACGCAGAAGAAAGAGCCGGAGCAGGCGGAAATGAAATCTAAATCGCCCTCCCCTTTAAAAAACAAGGTGCCCAATCCCAAAGAGGGGAAAAATCAGGAATGTGAAAGCACCAAAGCATCCGAAATCAGTAAGCGGGATCCCAGGCTGAAAAGGCACCTTCAGGATAAGTCCGAGGGCAAAGACGAGGAGGTGAAAGAAAAGAGGAGGAACGTGGAGAAAAAAGAGAAGGAGGAACACAAGACGGGCGAGCACAGAGCGGTAGGAGGCAGAAATAAAGTGATCAACGGTGCCGTTCAAAAACAAGACGCGAGTACAGAGGAGTCGGAGAAGCAGGGCGGAAAACAAGGGAGATCGAGCGCTAGGAAACGGTCGCGGTCGCGCTCTCCTAAGGCGAGGTCGCCATCTACGCATTCCCCAAAAAGACGGGAGAGGAGATCGCCCAAAAGAAGACTCAGGAGTTTGTCTCCCACCTCGTCGACTCCTAAAATGGGCAAGGTTCGGCAGCTAGGCCCGAAGCAGTCTCACGCCGAAGAGGCCGCTCCGGGGGCGAGAGATGAGCGCAATTCGAATAAGAGAAACGCGAAACAAGAGGTGCGAGATCCGAGGAGGGTGAAAAAAGCCCAGGAGGACAGGCCCCAAGAAGCAGCCGGCCAACACTCTGCCAAAACTGCTCCTGACCCGAAGGAGAACGCGGAAAACTGGCAAGGATCGAAATCAGGCAAGAGGTGGAAATCTGGTTGGGAAGAGAACAAAAAGTAAGTGAGCGTCTCTCTTTGTTTTTGTTTTTTTTTCGACAGCTTCTGTTTGAAGTCGGTGGAAATTCTGCTTGGGAGGCGAATGTTTGGATTGTTAAAAGGGATCAATTTTTAAGTTGTTTCTCGTGGAAATGATGCGTTGCGTAGATTGTGAGGTAGTTGCTGTGATGGGTTCTGACAGGGGTGTAACACAATCTCAGGAGTTGGAAGGGACCTCAA